CCCAGACGGCCCCAGAGGTCCCAAAGAATGTCCCAAGACGGGCTGAAGAGAGCTTCGAGCGGCACAGGAAAGCCACAAGACGGCCCAAAATAACCCCCAGGAAGCCCGAGGGGGCCACCAGAGGATTCCTCAGGGTCGGGGAGGACCCCAGGAGGGCCCCAAGATTTGGTTAGGTCCCCATGACGGGCGAAGCGGGGCCCGGAACGGCCGAACTGGGCTCCCAGAAGGTCCCAAACAAAAACCTACCAGGACTGCCTGAAGACGGTCCAGGAGGCCGCTGAGATGGCTCCTGGGTGCAAGAATCTAGCATTTCATTTGAACAAAAAAAACGTACATTGCTATGATGTTCGCTTCTTATGTTCCATCGGCGGCCACGTCGGCCCCAAAGGCTCCCCAAATCGGCGCCACACGGTCCACGAGGCCCCCAAGAGGGCCCGAAGACAGCCTCAAGAGAGCGTCGAGCAGCACAAAGAGCTCAAAAAAAACCCGAGAGAGTCCCCACAGGGGCCCGAGGGAGCCACCAGAGGATCCCTACATGGTCGGAGAGGGCCCCATGAGGGCCCCAAGATGGCTCAGCTATCCGTGACATGCAGAGACGGGCTTGGGACAGCCGAAATGGGCTTGCAGACAGGCCACAAAAACCCAAAATGATCCCCCCACGACTGTCCAAGAGGTCGCTGAGAAGGCCCTCCATAGGCAACCATCAAGAATTCCAATGGAAAAACGTATATTTCCCTACCTAGGCTCTGCCTAGAAGGGTTCTTACTCTCTTAGCTGAAAGGGGCCGGGCAGTGGAACTCGCCCCGGGCGGTTCCCCCAGTCCCCTGGGAGCGGTTCCCCCAGTCCCCTGGGAGCTTTAGCTTTAGCTTTAGCTTAGCTTTAGCCCAGCTTTAGCTTAGCTTTAGTTGAGCTTTAGCTTAGCTTTAGCTTAGCGTTGGCTTAGCTTCAGCTTAGCTTCAGCTTAGCGTCAGCTTAGCTTTAGCTTAGCTTTATATTAGCTTTAGCTTAGCTTTAGCTTAGCTTTAGCTTAGCTTCAACTTAGCTTTAGCTTAGCTTGAGCTTAGCTTCAGCTTAGCTTCAGCTTAGCTTCAGCTCAGCTTTAGCTTAGCTTTAGCTTAGCTTTAGCTTAGCTTCAGTTTAGCTTTAGCTTAGCTTCAGCTTAGCTTCAGCTTAGCTTTAGCTTAGCTTTAGCTTAGCTTTGGCTTAGCTGTAGCTTAGCTGTAGCTTAGCTTTAGCTTAGCTTTACTGTTACTACGAATGCTGCTTTCCTAGGGGCTCCAACTCCTAGGTAGGGTCGCACTGGGATGATTTTAGGAGCTTCGCGTTTCAGTTCTACCAGCGGTCGCGACGGCCCAAGAGGTTACCAAAATGGGCCCCAGACGGCCCAGAGGCCCCAAAGAGGGTCCCAAGACGGGCTGAAGAGAGCTTCGAGCGGCACAGAGAAGATACAAGACGGCCCAAAAGAGACCCCAGGGAACCCGAGGGGGCCACCAGAGGATTCTTACATGGTCGGAGAGGACCCCAGGAGGGCCCCAAGACGGGCTGAGCTCCCCACGACGAGCCAAGCGGGCCCGGAACGGCCGAAATTGGCCCTCAGACGGGTCAACAAAGGCCCCAACGGACTCCAAAGGAAGGCCCGGAGAGGCTCCGGAGACTGCCACACTGCTTCCAAAAAGGCTCCTGGCACGCGTTCCAGTGGGCACCCGTGTACTGGGTGCGTTGAGAGAAGAGAGGAGGAGGAGGGGGAGGATGTGGAGGACAAGGAGGAGGAGGAGGAGGATGAGCAGGAGCAGGAGGACGAGGAGGAGGAGGAGGAGGAGGAGGAGGAGGATGAGGAGGAGGAGGAGGAGGGAGAGGAGGAGGAGGACGAGGACAGGAGGGTGAGGAGGAGGAGGAGAGCAGGAGCACGAGGAGGAGGAGGAGGAGGAGGAGGAGGAGGAGGAGGACCAGGAAGATCAGGAGGACGAAGAGGGGGAAGAGGAGGAGGGACATTGTTATTGTAAACATTACCTTGCTCTCTGAGTCTCTGGCTCGGGGAGGGATGCTGAGGCCGAGGAGGGAAGGGGAACGCAGGATGAAGAGGGTTCACCGAAGAGCGGGGACGACAAGGAGGAGGAGGAGAAGCAGGAGGAAGAAGAGGAGGAGTAGGAGGAGGAGGAGGAGGTAAAGGAACAGGTATCCCTTTCAGGGAGATGCCGACGAGGAAAAGGATGAGTACAAGATGATGGGAAGAGGGAGAGAGAAAGGATGAGGAGGATAAGGGGACTGCAGTGGACCGGGGATGATGACGGCGTTGACGATGATGATGATGACGATGATTATGCCGACGACGACGCCGACGCCGACCAACACGATGTTGATGATGCGGATGATGATGCTCAAAAGTATGATGACGATGATGGCGATGGTGATCACGATGCTGATGAGAATGGTGGTCATGCTGATTGTTGTGATGGTGGTGGTAAAGGTGACCATGACCATGACGATGACGATGAAGATGACGGGGATGAGGATGACAATGATGACGATGATCATGACCCTAGCTAGAACTTGAGCGCGCGCGAAGCGCTCGCGATGGTTCTAGTGTGTATATATATATATATATATATACACACGTATGTGTGTATATACACACAAACGTATGCATATATGGTCGAGGATTTGGGCCCCCCCCCCCCAAAATGCTAATGCCATCGGCCCCCCCCCCCCCGCGCGATGCCCCCCACCCCCCCTGTGGGAGTGGTGTGGGGTCCCCCCTGTGGGTGTGCGGTGGTTAGGGGTCCGCCTCAGCCAAGAGTCGGCGTCGCTGGCGCCGCCGCCGTCGTCATGTCGTCGTCGTCGTCGTCGGAGGAGGAGGAGGAGGAGGAGGAGGAGGAGGAGGAGGAGGAAGAGGAGGAGGAGGAGGAGGAGGAGGAGGAGGAGGAGGAGGAGGAGCAGGAGCAGGAGCAGGAGCAGGAGCAGGAGCAGGAGCAGGAGCAGGAGCAGGAGGAGGATCATCGGCATCGGCATCCGCATATGCATCGCCGTCCCAGGCATGACGTGACCAGGCATGACGTAAAACTGCTACACGAAGAGGAGAGAGGTAGCGGGCGAGGAAGCGGGAGGGGGGAGCAAGGTAGGGAAGAGAGGGCCAAAAACGAGGAGGGAGGGATGGAGAGGCGAATGGGGGGAGGTGGAAAAGGAACATCGTCGTCGACGGTGTCTTCACCGTCGTCGCTTCCTTCTGGGTGGGGCGTTGTGTTCCGGTGCTGTCGCCGTCGTCGTCGTCGTCGTTCTCCTCCTCCTCCTCCTCCTCCTCCTCCTCCTCCTCCTCCTGCCCCGAGGGGGCCTTTCCCGTAGGGGAGGGGTCGGGACCCCAGGGTCCTCCTGGCGCAGGCGGGGAGCGCCGGGCCCGAGGGGCGAAAATCCCCCGCACCCCGGGGGACGCCGCCAAAGTGCGGTTTCCTTCCCCCGGGGGGGTCGCCAGGCCCCGTGTGCTTCCCCAGGGCGGTGCTGGGTCCCCCCCAGCGCTCGCCGCCCTGGGGCGGGGCTGGCGGCTCGTCCCGTCGTGTCGCTCGTCCGTCTCGTGTCTTTCGTGTCGCGTCGTTCGTTTCGTCCCCCTGTCGTGTCGCGTTGTCGTGGTCCCGGGGCCCGTAAAACGCGGCCACCCACGGAGTGGGTGGTGGGTAGGGTTGGCGCTGAGCACGGCTCGCGCCCCCTACCCCGACCAGGGAGCGCGGAGCACGGTCTCCTGCGCTCCCTGGTCGCGCTTAGGTCGCGCCACGGGGGCATGGCCCCGACCGTGGCGCGGCCTGCGCCGCTTTGCGCCCTCAGGCGACTGCCAATCGCCTGTTGAATTTTGGCTGTCGCGTGGCCTGCTTGTGCGGGTCGGCCAGCGTGCACGGAACAATCCTGCGCTGGCAGCGTCTCAAGTGTCGGGCTCGACGGCTGCCTGGCTGGCCGCCAGGAGGACCGCGATGACTCGCGGCAGAGTAGCGCAGCGGCAATCCTCCTCCTCCTCCTCCTCCTCCTCCTCCTCCTCCTCCTCCCCCATCCCATCTGGGGGGGGGGCCCGAGGGCCCTGGGACCCATCCCATCTGGGCGGGGGGCCGTGGGCCCGGGGCCCGCCGCGATCATTTATGCATATACGTATACGACCGCCCTGCGGGCGATAAGGAGGTTGGGGGGGGGGGATTGTGATCAACTGGCCACCCTGACTGACCTCCAGCCTGTCACCTTGATCTCATCTCTCTCTTTCTCTCTGTTTCGGTTGGATTGGATTGGATGGAATAAGATGGATTGGATAAGATAAGATGGGCTGGATTGGAAGAGATGGATATGATAAGATAAGGTGGGTTGGATTGGCCCGCCGCAGGCGCAGAAACAAATGAATTGATGGATTGGGTTGGATGGGTTGGATTGGGTGGGATAAGATAAGATGGGACAATATGGGTTGGATAAGATGAGATGGATTGGATTGGACAAGATGGATTGGAGACGATAAGCTGGATTGGATAAGCAAGCCCGCCGCAGGCGCCGACAAACATGAATTATGAAATTAGCGACATGCGTTAGCGCCGGGACGCCCGGGACACTTGGGACACCCGGGACACCGCCCGGCCCAACTGGGACACTTCCCGGCCACCAGCGGACGGGGAACGACACCCGGGACACCGCCCGGCCCAATTGGGACACCTCCCAGTCACCGGCGGACGGGAACAGACTTTTGCTCCTACTTCGGTTTAGCTACAGGAGGATCACGCGCAGCTTCGTCTCGCCCGCACGCGCGACACGAACACGAAGCCGAAATTGATTTTCCGGTGGGGGGTCTCCGTTTCACTGCGATCTCACCCCCCATCTTCCGATATGTATGTATATACGTGTGTACGAGGTCAAAAAATGCATTCGCATCTGTACACCCACATATATAGACCCCGCAAACATCGAAACTTGTGAATGGAACGGTGTGTATCTACACGCATGTACAGAGAGGTCTGCGCCTCCCCCGCCGCGCCCGCCAGGTGGTCTTTGCCACCTGCCCTGGCGCCGCCACGCTCCACCGCGAAGCGCGCAGGAGCGGCGCCGAGGACGGTGGCGGCGCCGACTCGGGGTTCCGCGGGGCAAGAAGCTCGGGGGCCCCCAAACGGGGTGGTGACCACACCGTGTGGGGAGTCGGTGGGGATTCGGGGTCACCGCACGGTTTTGGGTTTCGAGGCCTTCTCCGAGGACGTTTCGGGCGACTTGGGCCTCCAGGGTCCCCAAACCGTGCAGTGACGGACCGTGCGGTGAGGTCTTGGGGGATTTCGAGGTCACCGCACGGTCTGTGACCGCTCCGTTCCAGGACTCCGAAAAAACGGCTCGCCGCGGCGGGCTGGCGGGGCCCGCCACGAGGTGGGCGTGTTGCATCACGGGGCTTCGGAGGCGGCCAAGAGGGGGGGTGATAATTAAGGGGGGTGGGTATCATAGCGGGGGCCGCGCACGGCCACCGGCCACCCCCCCTGGGCCGCGCACGTGCCGCCGGCCAGGATTTGCGCCCGCCGCTTGCACGCCCCCCTCGTGGACGCCTCCGAAATTTGGAGGTTTGGCATCGTTCGGACGTGTGCGCTTTTCCTTGGCGGGCACCATCGAGGATCATCTTGGATCATCTCGCGAAAAATACAACACGCGCGAAGCCGACAAATGCACGGGGAGTGGACGTCCGAGCGATGCCAAGGAGCCGCCTTGGGGTCTGTGGTGGCCCAGCACCAGTTCTGGCCAGCGGGAAGGGCGGGCAAGGTTCGACGTTCTGGGTTAGGGGAGGTGCGTTCTGCCTTTTGTCCACCTCCGGGGGCCGATTTCGGGCGCCAGGACCGTGACAAAAGCATCCGGGATGAAAACTACGCCAGATGGACTCCGGGAGGGGTCCGGGAGACCCTGGGAGGGGTCCGGGGACCGCTTTGAAGCGGATTTGCCTTCGTCCCTCCCGGACGAATTTTTTGGGCCCCCAACCAGTGCAGACCTTCGGAAGCCGCCTCCAAGCTCCAGCGGGTCCCAGAGAGCCGACGGTATGTTGTTGGTGCGCGGCCCCAGAGGTCCCAACGCCTGCCCCCAGAGTCAGTGTGTTCGTCGTCCCACGTCACTGGTTGGTGGCCCCGGGGCCCAATCACGGGCCCAGAAAGCCGAGCTCAACGGAAACAGCCCGGATTGAAAAAACGCATCGTCATCGGGCGCTGCGAAAGGGGGAAACGATGCATGGAGGGGGGACGAAAGGTGCATTGTTCGTGCATCTTAGGGCCCGAAAATGGACGCGAGAGGTGTACGCTTCTTCACCCCACCATTCATCGTTCCCCCCCATTGAGCAACGCCCGAATGAAGCAGACGGGTCCTGAGCCTTGTCGCAGCGTTCCGCGCCCGACCCCTCGTTTCGGATGTCTTCGGGTCGTTTCGTCGGTTTTTCTGCGGTTTTCCGACCTCGGGATGCGCTCCAGCAGCTGCGCCTCGCCGGGAGTGTTCCGGGCGTGCCCGCATCGTTCCAAACGGCCGCCCCGAGACCCAAGCTTTGACCTGAAAACCTAGGGAAAGGGGTCCAGAGGGAAGCGGGCCCCGCGGTGAAGTGCCAGTGGTGAGGAGAGGCCCCGGGGTCCAGGGCCCGTGCCCCTCGGGACCCGCCTGCCTCGTGCCAGAAAGGGTCGGGGACTGCGCGCCGAGATTCGGCTGCGTGCCAAGCCTGGAGGTCCTTTCCTTCTTAGATCTAAGACGCGGCCATTGTACTTCTTAGATGTACGTGACCATTATTGAATCAAGATGCGTTTCTTAAAACAAGTTTCACTTCTTGAAGCAATACGTCGCTTCTTAGCACAAGAAGCAGATTATTCGTTCAATGGTTGAGCGCACACCAAAAAACTCGTCCTCCTCCTCCTCCTCCTCGTCCTCTCTCTATCATAAGTTACACACATATATATGTGTATGTATATGTACATATATATACATATGTTGATGCAACTATGTATTATACAAAGCAATATGCATACATATGCACATATAAGCGTTTATAATATATACATGTATTATATGATAAACATATGCGGTATTATCACGCACCGCAGCACATGCGATTTTATTATATGATATGGTATGGTATGACATGATATGACAGTATACACCTACATATATATGAATATATGTAAGATTGCATGCAAAACATATATATATATATATCATAATATGGATATGGATATATATATATATATATATATACACGCATCGGGGTATATATAAATAGATATGTATATATATACATTGGTGGGAAGCGGGGGCTGGCATTTCACGACCATCCGTTATAAGACGGTGCGACAACAACCTTGTACAAAGCGATACGACGATAACACGGTATGATATAGGGCCTCGGTAGACGATACACCAATGATACGATATGGGGGATTCACCAGACGGTAGGACGATACAGGCGATACGACTTATCGCCTGATCGTCTGATCGCCTCATCACCCATACATACCAACGAACATAACTCAACTGAGACGAAACGGTGCCCCCCTCCCCGAAAACTGTCTCTGTGAACGATGTGCTGGTCCATCCACCTCGTTGACACACACACACACACATATATATATATATATATATATATATATATATGATATATATATATATATATATATATATATATATGCGTATATACACATGTATATATACACATTTTATACATGCGAGCAGGTATAATCTAGGAGGTCGTCACGTCCTATATGTAATTAGATTTATAATTGGATACCCTTTCCTGTTAAACAAAAGGAAAAGACCTCTAAGGGCATTCGGCCCCGAGTCCCCCCAGGAGGCCCCAAGAGGCCCCTAAGAGGCCCCAGAAGGCCCTTAAGAGGCCCCGAAAAGGCTCCCCAAATGCACCCAAGAGGCCCAAAGGGGCTCGCAAGACGCCCCCAAGACTTTCCTCGTCTTCGATCTCCTCTGTCGCCTGTAGCCGTTTTGGCTCCGGCGTGTGAGGCACATGACAGAGCGCCCGAAGAGGCCGCGCGCAGATTTCGATACCAAGGCTGCGGCCGAGACCTTGAAGCAGTATGTGAACCCGATCAAGGTTATCAGGTACTACTGCGACACTAAGAAGGTCGTCGAAGTCAGCAGATCTCCGAGGGACATACAGCCGCATTTCGAGATGCATGCAGAGTTTGCGAAACGACACGGGAATCATCGGCCTGTGTTTTCGCCCCGCGGACCTGGAGAACACGCGGTTGGAGCTTTATGGCATGGACCCGTACAAGGAGTGGTTCAAGAACAAGGACGACGCCGAGGACTGGGTGTAGACGCTCGCGTAGAGGATGTTCTGCCAGCGCCGTCACATCGTGCAAGGCCGGGCGCCGAAGACGAAGCCGAAGTGGCTTAGCGAGTTCACAGGGCGGTTTGACAATTCACTCATGCGAACTCATGGCGTCCCGCTTCCTTTCCGCCTCCTTGCGCGTAAGGAAGTGGAAAGGCGGCGGGGCGCCATGAGGTGTGCGACTTGAGGTGCGCCGTCGACCCGTTAGGTTCAACCTCAGGGCCTCGGCCGAGGACAACGTTGACGAGCGAGGTGGCTACCAGGTCAAGTGGGGCCCTGCTTCGCGCGAGGCGTACGGGTTCTCGAACGCTGACGCGCCGGCCAAGGAGTTTGCGGCATCCTACGACGCTGACAACGACGATGACGATCCTGTCGCGGCCATGTGGGACGAAGGGTTCACCTTTCGAGCCCGTGGACGTCGCGCGCCAGGGGCGCAATTGCGAGGCGACCGCTCGGAAGCGCCCAGCCGCCAGCCACCAGGGCGACGCCGGCGAGAAGAACGACCCCGAGGACGATGCGGGCCCGCCGCTGCTGAAGCGCTCGTCTGGCGCATGCCGTCGCCCAGCTGCGAACCCAGCTTCAATGACCGAAGACGACCTGCCGCGCGTGGTCGGACGCCGTGACGGGGGGCCCGCGCCGATAGCGATGAAGACGGACTGACCTTCAGCTGACAGGTCGAACCACCTCTACGCGATCATCGTCAACGACGGCCAGAAATGCACGACCCGCAAGGACGAGGACGATTCCCTCATGATCCTGGCGACGGTCGCCAAGGACTACGTGAACGAGTTGTTCGACGTAGACGACATGAAGGGCTTGAGGGGTTCGTTGGTCGCCAAGGCAGCGGCGTTGAAACGCAGCCAGAATCCTTTCGATCGTCGCGCCGCCCCTCCTCATCACCATCATCTTCATAGTGTACTCTGTCTTTGCGCGACAGATTGCCTCGGGCTCCTGCGACACTTCTGGAGATGCTGTGCGTTGGCGGTGCGATCGATATGGCGCGCGACAGGGCTGGGCCCCCGTCGGGCGCCTGCTGAAGCAAGAAGAGCCCTAAGGAGAAGGAGTAGGGGGGATGCGGAGGAGGAGAAGGAGATGAGGAGGAGGAGGGTGAGAAGGGCGAGGGGGCAGAGGAGGAGGAGCGATGGGGAGGAGGAGGAGGAGACGGAGGGTGAGGAGGAGCAATGGGGGAGGTGCGAGGATACACGCACCCCCGCCCATCATCACGTTCCGCGTTTCCCCGTCATCCCAGGAGGCCCTGATGGCGCCCGCGGAGGAGCCCAGCCCTCCTCGATGTCCTGCGCCGCGCGCACCCCGCCTCGAAATGCTAATACATCGCGGCGGGCCTTGTTGAAAGCACGTCGCATCCATGAGGCCCGCCCCCTCTTCTTCCTCCTCCTCCGCCTCCTCCTCCTCCTCTTCCTCCTCCTCCTCATCCCGTTCCCCCATGTCCTCCCGCCCCCCCCCACCCCCCCTCCCCCCGTCGCCCCCCCCATCCCCCCCCTTTCCCGGGGGCCAGCGAGGCGGCCGTAATCGGCAGATCTTGGAACAGGAGGCAGCTGCTATGGCGAGGCCCGTCAACCTCTCATCTCGCTGACCCCTGCTTCTGCTGCTGCTGATGCTGCTGCTGCAGCTGCTGCTCCTCCTCCTCCCCCATCCCCCTCCTCATCGTCATCGGATCCCTCCTCCTCGATCATCCTCCCCCTCCTTCTCTTCTACCCCGCCCCTCCTGCCCCCGGGCCAGCCCGCCGCCGTGCTTCATGGGCGAAGAGATCTGGGGCTGGAGGCTG